CAAAGTTTTTTTGGCAAGTAGTACCTTTGTTGGTTAAAAACGGTTTTATAGTCTTCCAAAAATCAGACTGTTTACATCCTCCAGAGCATCTGTCCAAAAAATAATTTTTAATTGATTGTTTCTTGATTTTAGTGACTAGGTTTCTTGATTGTCTGTAATTTTCCCAGTTAACACTATTTCTATTTCTAAGATACTTATTAAACAACATTTTCTTTTTATAAATAGATTTTCTCAAAGTAGAGTTCATGTAAGGGGCAGGCTGTAGAGGCTTTTTTCTTTGTTTAATTAAAGAGCATGTTTGTCAAAGGTTTTTGTCATTAACAATGAAAATTTTTCAGAAACTTGATCTAGATTTTCCTCTGTATTTATAAAAGATAGATCTGAATTTCTAAAATCATTTAAAAAGTCATCTTCATTAAAATTCTTAAAACTTCTATAGCTAATCCATCTAGCTTTATAGGTGGGTACAGTCAAATTTAAAGTAAAACCTATCAAATTGTGGCAGTCACTTATGCCGCAGTTAAAATTCATAATATTAGAACATTTGTTTGGCATATTGGTAAATATAACATCTAGTAAACTAGGAGCATGATTTGCAGGATAGCATGTAGGTGATTTTATCATATTTGTTAAATCAAAACTGTCACAAAGTTCAGTTATATTTGTACATTTATCTACATGAATATATGTTGTAAATATTGTTGGTAAAAAGTATGTTAAAACTATAAAGTTGTAAATATGTTATGTTAACTTTAAAGCAGCACGCCGCCAGATTCATCCTAATTTTCATGAAAATTTTGAAAATGTATTTAAAGGTAAAATATTGTTAAATGAACAAAGAAAGTACTTGACACATTACAATCGGCACTTAAAATCCACGTAAATTACCAAAAAGAGGTCAAAACATGCATAAATATGGTGATAAATACTACAAAATACAGTCATTTATTGCACATAAGATATAAATTATCACTTGAATCTTTAATTTGTTTACTTTTCTCAAAGTTTTAGTAATTTTTTTCCAAGTTTAATTTTCTTGGAATATTTTGGGTCATCTGGAGGCATGCAGCTTTAAAGTAGATTATGATTTTATTTCTTTGCTGAATAATATTTGCAATTATTTGATTGACTCTGTATCTATTCAAACTTTGATGAATATATAAAAGTAATGGTACTGATACTTAATTACTTCACCAAAAAAAGTACTGGTACTGCAGTACCAAGCTAAAATCTAGTACTGGTACTGGTAATGGTACTGCATAATTTGCCAAGTACTGGTACTGGTACTTAAGTACTACACCCTTAGTACTGATGCAGCTCTGGTTGGATGTGAGATTTATCAACTGGTACTCATGATCTATCCTATACATAATCTAGTATTTTCACCAATGTACCTATTTTTAATGAAACCAGTTTGATCTTTTGACACTAAAATATCTAAAACACTTAAGTCTGTTTGCTATACTACCTGAGGCTAATTTATATATAATACATTTAATAAAGTAATCGGTCTCCAGTTTTTAGCTCACCTGACCACAAATAGGTCAAGGTGAGGTATAGTGATGGGGCTATGTCTGGCGTCTGTCGTCCTGCGTCTTTCGACGTCAACAATTTGGTTGTTAACAGTCTAGCAGTCACAGTTTTGATTGGATCATTGTCAAACTTTGACAGAATGTTTGTCTCAATGAAATACAGATCGAGTTCGAAGATGGGTCATCTCCAGTCAAAAACTAGGTCACAGGACCTAAAAATAGAAAAAGCTTGTTAACACTCTACTTGCTGCAGTTTTGATCCAAATATTCTGGAAATTTGTCAGGAACGTTGTTTTGATGATTTCTAGGTCAAGTTCGAAGATGGGTCATCTCCGGTCAAAAACTAGGTCACAGGAGCTAAAAATAGAAAAAGCTTGTTAACACTCTAGTGGCTGCAGTTTGATCAAAATATTCTAGAAATTTGTCAGGAAGGTTATTTTAATGATTTCTAGGTCAAGTTCGAAGATGGGTCATCTCCGGTTAAAAACTAGGTCACAGGAGCTAAAAATAGAAAAAGTTTGTTAACACTCTAGTGGCTGCAGTTTTGATCCAAATATCCTGGAAATTTGTCAAGAAGGTTGTTTGAATGATTTCTGGGTCAAGTTCCAAAATGGGTTATCTCCTGTGAAAAACTAGGTCACAGGAGCTAAAAATAGAAAAAGCTTGTTAACACTCTAGTAGGTGCAGTTTTGATCCAGATATTCTGGAAATTTGTCAGGAAGGTTGTTTTGATGATTTCTAGATCAAGTTCGAAGATGGGTCATCTCCGGTCAAAAACTAGGTCACAGGAGCTAAAAATAAAAAAAAGCTTGTTAACACTCTTGTGTCTGCAGTTTTGATCCAAATATTCTGGAAATTTGTCAAGAAGGTTGTTTTGATCATTTCTAGGTCACGTTTGAAGATGGGTCATCTCCAGTCAAAAATAAGGTCACAGGAGCTAAAAATAGAAAAAGCTTGTTAACACTCCAGTGGCTGAAGTTTTGATCCAAATATCCTGGAAATTTGTCAGAAAGGTTGTTTTGATAATTTCTAGGTCAAGTTCGAAGATTGGTTATCTCCGGTCAAAAACTAGGTCACAAGAGCTAAAAATAGAAAAAGCTTGTTAACACTCTAGTAGCTGCAGTTTTGATCCAGATATTCTGGAAATTTGTCAGGAAGGTTGTTTTGATGATTTCTAGATCAAGTTCAAAGATGGGTCATCTACGGTCAAAAACTAGGTCACAGGAGCTAAAAATAGATAAAGCTTGTTAACATTCTACTGGCTGCAGTTTTGATTCAAATATTCTGAAAAGGACTAGATTCGCTTATGCATGAAATATGCCTAAATATTTTGTATTTTATAAAACTTCAAATTTTCAAGAAATGAAACAATTTTCTGGAAGAACACCTTTAGCTTGTTGATATAAATGAAAAACAGTAAAGATAATACGTCTGTTCCGTGCAATAAAATACGCTTGAAGTAAGGGCTAAAAGCCGTTTTCCGGTATTTTGTATCAGTTTTCGACGATAAATTGAAAAATTTGAATAGGGCACAGGTCTCGACCAAAAAACAAAATAAGTCATTGTCATTGTGAGTATTTATAATTTACAAAAACGTATCAATAATTTTGGTCGAGGCCTGTGCCCTTTACGAAAATTTATATTTTCCTTCCCTTGGTGTCTGTGCAAAAGCAAATCGAATGCATAGAAGATCAAAGATTTAAGCTGTATTTTTATAAATTTTTACTTGTTTTTGCGGTCAAGCATTGAGATCGAAAGCAATTATCATTAGTCAAATAAAATATGTCTTCTTTTCTGTCATGTTTTGTTAACTTATTGAATGAAAAGTGAAAATCCAGGCGATGATGACAACGACGACGACAACAACAACAAAGCCATTGTTTACACTTTACCTAGTAAATCTATACTACTGTAACGCTGACAGGGTTTAAAACAGTCAAACGTTTGTTTGTTTATTTTGTGAGCATTTATTCTCGGATCTAGGAATGTATTCCAGTCCAGATATGACTTTGTGATAACCGTGACAGGGAGTTTCCAAGTAAGTATAATTTTATCCATGAAATTGTCGAAATCAATTGTGTTTCGTCTGCATAATTTATAAAGTCGAACATTATCCAAGTAGAACTCAGTATTAAATAGTTATAAAAAAGTGTGAAGGTAATGTATATATTTATCAGGTAATTGCCAGAATAACAAACTGAAATATGTGTCGAAAGAGATAGAATACTTAATTTAAAGCATCCAATCCGTTTACTTTTATTTAGTCACGTATCGACTTTAAGTAGTAATTGTAAAACATTTTGATTTCAGTTGTGGTGATGGCGTAGTGGTCTAAGTGCCGGGCGCATGCATGTTTTATATGACTGATCAGATCCGGCTAGTGGTTCGACCCCTGAACAAGGTACATTTTTTTTCGTAATTATTAAATGACAGATTATTATTTAAATAATTGTTTATTAAATAAGTGAAAAAAATTATTAAGTATTAAATGAGAGTTTATTATTTAAATCATTATTTATTTCATGAGTGAAAAAAATAATTAAATTAAAAGTTTAATTATTGTTAGTTAATAAAACCAAAATACAAGAGGAAATATTTTTATTTTTTCTGTCAAATCATTGATGTACTAAGTATTTTTTTCAGGATGCCTGGATCGGGTCCAAAGTTTTATGCCTGTGCAGTGTGCAAGAAAAGAACTAAACCAAAAGAAAGAAGACACATAAGGAAACCTATAAGAAAATATCTTCAAAAACGGTTATTTGTTGATGTTAAAGACAATGAAATAATTTGTAACAAATGTAGACATAAATACTATGCATTAGAATCATCATCTTTTACAAGAAAAGACAGCAACCATTCAGATCCAGATTATGTTCCATCTGTTTCAACTTCTCAATTAAAAGGAACCAAAACACCGACTAGTCCACCATCGGTATCATTAAATATAAAAACTACCAGTAAAACACATTCAAGATGTTTAGTCTGCAAGAGACCAGGGCCAAAATTAGTTGTTCTGTCTTCAGAGGCCAGATTCAATGTGTTTATACAACAGAACGTACTCATACCTGCTGGTTCTAGGTGCTGTCCAGTACACATACATGAAGGCCTGCTTTGTTCAGATTCCTTAGAGAATGTGCCGATAATAGAAACAGCATTTCTAAACAGGACATCTGTCCTAAAACTTATAAAACATTTAAGAGAAATATGCTGCTGCAAACAAAACAAATTGAATTTTGATGTCTTAAACGACGTAGAATATGGAAACTTAACAGGGCTTTCACGTTCTCAGTTTGATGATGTGTTTCGTCATGTTGCCGACAAAATTTATAACTCTCCATCACGTTCTTCCAGAACAACTCTAGGAATTTTTCTCCTGAAGATGAAATCGGCTTGTCTAATAAGCTATTGTCTACTCTATTTGGAATTAGCAAGTCAAGTGTACGGAGAGCGATTGTTGCCACAAAACATGCGATGATGAGAGGATTTGTGCCGTTATATCTTGGTTTTGAAAGCATAACAAGGGAAGATATTATCAACCATCACACTAGACCGTTAGCCAAGTCCCTTTTTGATGCAAATGATGGGAAAGTTATTTTAGTTCTTGATGGAACTTATGTTTATATTCAGAAAAGTAATAATTTTAGCTTTCAAAGACGTTCATATTCAATGCACAAAGGTCGTCCATTAGTGAAGCCCATGGTTATTGTTACAACAACCGGATACTTTGTTACAGTGATGGGCCCTTATTTTGCTGATTCAAAGAACAATGATGCTTCTATCCTGAATCATATGTTGAAAACAAATACTGAAGAGATAAGGGACTTTATTCAGGAGGATGATATTTTTGTTGTCGATAGAGGTTTCCGTGATTCTCTTGAACTTTTACAAGATTTAGGCATTAGGGTGGAAATGCCTTCATTTCTATCCAAGGGACAAAAACAGATGACTTGTGATGATGCAAACAATAGTAGATTTGTAACCAAGGTATTCTGTTTTGAAAATAAATGTACTTTATAAATGTATTTTATCTTCAGATTTATAAGTAAAGACTGTATTATATTAGATCTACATAGATAACACAGTTTATCTTAAGTCTTAATGTTTAATAAAAACAATGACTGCTTACCAAGTTATTATGTGATAATCGTTTAAGATTGATTTCCATTAATATCTATTAATATAACTAGATATTAAAAATGGTGTTGGTTCTACTGAAGTGAATGTATTTTGACATTTTAAAGCAATACTTTGGTTCTATGCTTTTAAGAATTTCACATATATGCGCACTGATATCAAACTGAATATACAGTTATGTTATTTGTTGTTCTTCGTCTTTTACAGATTCGCTGGGTTGTAGAATCGGCAAATGCCCGGATTAAAAGTTGGAAATATTTTAATCATGTTCTCCCAACTAATCAAATTCCATACATTGGTGACTACATAAGAATAGTTTGCGCAATATGCAACAAGTATTTTAAACCACTTTGCAATGCTGATAGTGATGACGATTCACGTTTGGCCTCAAAGATGCGTGCATTATCATCAAACGCAAACATATTAAAATCTTATGTTGAAGATAATAATCTTGAAAGAAGATCAGCTTTATGGAAACCTGTGGACGACTCATCATTGCAAAGTTTTCCAAGGTTTAACGAAGAACAGTTGAGATCGTTGACGTGTGGCGTATATCAACTTAAAATGTCATCAAGTTATATACAGGAACATTTAGATGGAAACTGTGAAATCCATGTCCACAATGATGATTCTGATTTGATCCGGGTACGGATCCAAAGTCGGCACACGTCATCCAGGAAATATCTGTTATGGATAAGATTTTCTGCTGCAGATATTGAAGCTTGGTATTGCAAATGTCGTGCTGGAGAACGTGTTGTTGGTATGTGCTCACATATTGCCTCTGTTGTGTGGTATTTAAGTTATGCAAGGCATTTACAATGTCAGAAGTTTGGTGTACACAACTGGGGAGAGTATCTTGCAGATGCTGGCAAAATACCAGAGACAATAGATGAAACTGACTCTGATACAGACGTCAGTGTTATAGAAGAATAGTGGACTTTGAACACTTTGTTGTTTACATTCTGCTTATTTCGCAGGGCTCTGCAACAATTAAACTGCAGTGAAGTAATAATTGTAAGATTTTTCTTTCACAAATGGATTGTTATAACAGTGGAAGTACAATTAATCCTTGTAATAATTAATTGTAATTTACTTACGTTATTGATTTAAACATATTTTATTGCTCTTTTTGTACACATTTATAACGTTATATTATCATAATATAAACACAAAAGTAGCAAAACGGTTGAAACACGAGTTCTTACAACATCAGCAAACGGTTTTCCCTGATATATTGAATTATCTTATAATAATAATAATGATAATAATAATAAGACAGTTACAAACCAAATCGAATGATAGTACTTGTGTTATTGATGTAATGTATTTACATATAATTATATTGTATTTATATATATGTATTTAAGAAAATAGTATACAACAATGACGGCTTCATAACATTATAGTGACCAATCTGACTGAAGCGGAAGGCTAATGTCCGTGCTAATGTCTGTTTGATGTTTCGGGCTGACTGGGAGGTCAGTAAAATGCTAAGAGTTGTTTTGAGTTATTTCTTATTTAATATAACTTCATTGTAAAAGTTGGAAATCATATTGTTTAAATCACAAACAATCTTTTAAAATGCAATGAAAATTATTGGCATTCAGCTTATATTACGTGCGCTTTTTTTTATTTTTCACACCGTAACACATTATAATACTCCTCGCTCAGACGGTAATTTTTTTTTCAGACCGATGACGTCATCGTGAATAAAGGCCCCTTTATGTACCCGAAATGCAATACTTTCATTTTTATTTCTCAAAATATTTTTTAGTTTCAAACAAGTTACTCATTGGTCTTCTTCTTCTGTTACTTTTAGGCAATAAGTACATATATAATAACTTAGTAATTTGTAAGGAAGTCAAAATATTACTTGTTTTCATTACGTTGTTTTCATTGCTAAATTAATGACATATTAGTACATTTACCAGTCTTTTGTTTAGGTAACAAGCATCAAATATGCTCAAACCATTATTTAAAACGTATACAAACATCTTTGATCTTTTTAAAAAAGGTAAATATTATTCATTTCTGAGTCATACTGTGCCTTTTAAAAGCCGCTGACGTAAGGCATGATATTGATAAGATAAAATCGATAGAATAATACCATAGATACCCTAGACAGGTGAAATACTTTATATATTGACAATCGCTTAACATAATATTGATTTGTTAGTGTTTCATTTCCACAATACATAGTATTCTTTTTTTGAAACATAAGGCTAGTCATTAGTTATTATGAAAATTATCGAGGTTGTTGCTGTATTTAAGAAGAGATTAGAGATTAGACAAGTTTAGATTTTTAAATGTTATGATGAATGAGATTGTAATAAAATATTGGTTGTGTCCTAAACATGCTGTAATTTTTTATTTGATATTTTTCTAGATATTTGAATATTGATAGTTTTAAGTGGCAAAATGCAATGATTTTGTTACTGCGTTATTTAGAATGTCTTGAATGATATAAAATATGTTTAACTTTTTACTCTAACTTTTCGGCCTTTTCCGTCATTCTTCGGATAAGACTACGTGTATTTATGAAACATTGTCGACATGTTCCGATTGATGTAATATCTGTGTCTGCATCTAAAGTGATTCTATGTTTGCTTAAAAAGAAGTTTAAGCTAATTGTGTATTTATTATATTTTAGTTGTACTGACTATATATTTAAAAAAAACACATCAAAGTTTATTGCCGTAAACTATTTATATGCAGAAGACTTATACATGTAAATTCTATTGCATATTTTTGAAAATCTTTGTGGTCGTTAAATGTAAATTGATTTTCTTCAGAATAAAAGATGGACACTATCCATGCAATAGTTTCATGCAGCAGTAATTTGAATGTCACACCTGTTATAAAGTATGCTAGATTGTTTATTTTGTATGACCGGCATTTTTGTTTCGTTTCGTTTATAGTTCTGTATTCAATTTGTTAGATGATGAAACATGTCAGTTTACGTAGCTGTTATACTAAGTAAATGATTCAGCGTGTAACATAACTTTATCACATAACACATGCCGCTTTTGCTGTTACATTAAAATAGTATTGCACGACAGGGCGTATATTTTGATGTGACATCCTTTGCGTTATACGATCATAGCGTAAAGACGCATGAAATGATAGCGTTACACTATAAGTGCGTCAATGAAAAAGTATTACTCTTTTTACTGTAAACAATTTTTATCTTTGACATGTGATAATTTAAATAGATTATTATGACATAAACATGTAAATAAAATTATTCATTTAATACCTCCAGTCATTGAAATATATTACGTAAACTGGACGAGTTTGTTTTCATTTATGTTTCACTCATTTTAAAGTGAATATTGTGTTTTTATAATATTGTAGTAAATAAAAGAAGCAATTCTTTTTTATCTCCATAACTAAAAAGAGATTTGTGAGTCATATACCAGCGTTTCATATTACAAATATTAATATGACGTTACGGCGTCGTTGATTGACGTTGCAATTTTGACGTCAAAATACGTTACAATGGGGTCAAGTATAGAGCCTAAAAAATTGACAAATTGGAAAAAATTATACAAAAATCAACAAAAACCTACTTGGGACATATTTTTATGTCATATGCTCAAGTTTTATCGAAATTAAAAATTAGGCCGATTTTCACTATATTTGAACATACTCCTTTGTCAGGAAGGTAACGTTTTGATGAATTCTAGGTCAAGTTCGAAGATGGATCATCTCAGGTAAAAAACTAGGTCACAGGAGCTAAAAATAGAAAAAGCTTGTTAACACTCTACTTATTGCAGTTTTGATCCAAATATTCTGGAAATTTGTCAGGAAGGTTGTTTTGATGATTTCTAGGTCAAGTTCGAAGATGGGTCATCTCCGGTCAAAAACTAGGTCACAGGAGCTAAAAGTAGAAAAAGCTTGTTAACACTCTAGTGGCTGCAGTTTTGATCCAAGTATTCTGGAAATTTGTCAGGAAGGTTGTTTTGATGATTTCTAGGTCAAGTTCGAAGATGGGTCATCTCCGGTCAAAAACTAGGTCACAGAAGCTAAAAATAGAAAAATCTTTATAATACTGTAGTGGCTCCAGTTTTGATCCAAATATTCTGGAAATTTGTCAGAAAGGTTGTTGTGTCAAGTTCGAATATTGGTCATCTCCATTCAAAAATTAGGTCGCATTGCCCAAAAATGGAAAGCCTTTTTAACATACTAGAGGTCACATTTTTGACTCAATTGTCATCAAACTTGGTCAGGATGCTTGTCTAAGACATTGCTTTGATGCGGTTGATGGGTCAGGGGAGCGATCCAGGGGCATCATGGCCTTCTTGTTTAAAAAATGTTAAGGTTTATTTTGTTTTGGAATGCATGTTATTGTTCCTAATTTTTGATTTCTAGAAAATGAATTAACCTTATATGCATAATTAATAGCTTTCACCACAAAATGTCCAATTCTATTCCAAAAAGTTTTGAAGAAAATTACTGTAAATCCATCACACCCAGGGCTTTTATCACTTTTCAAATTTTTTAATGTAAAGGAGACTTTATCAAATGAAAGGAGACCTTCAAGCTTGAGTGGAGTGATTTACTATCAGACAGCATATTAATATCACAATCTCTCAATTCTCTATCAATATTACAATCATTCAAAGTTACATTTTTGTATAAGTTTTCATAATAAGCACTAGTTATACCCCCAAAAACGAAGTTTGGGGGGGTATATAGGAGTCACCCGGTGGTCGGTCGGTCGGTCGGTCCAGACGTCCGTTGCATTTTCCTTGTCCGGAGCATAACTTGAAAACTAATGATTGGAATTCAATATAACTACACACAATGATCAAGCACATTGAGAGGAAGTGCAGTGCACAAGAACCATAACTCTATCTTGACTAATTACAGAGTTATTGCCCTTTGTTACTTTTCCTTGTCCGGGGCATAACTTGAAAACTACTGGTTGGAATTCAAAACAACTTCATACAATTGTCAAACACAATAAGGGGAAGTGCAGTGCACAAGAACCATAACTCTATCTAAATTAATTACAGAGTTATTGCCCTTTGTTACTTTTCCATTCCTTTCTTTTGTCCGGACCATAACTTGAAGACTAACGGTTGGAATTCAATATTACTACATACAATGGTCAAGCACATTGAGAGGAAGTGCAGTGCACAAGAACCATAACTCTATCTTGACTAATTACAGAGTTATTGCCCTTTGTTTATTTTCCTTGTCCGGGGCATAACTTGAAAATTACAAGATGGAATTCAAAACAACTTCATACAATTGTCAAACACAATAAGGGGAAGTGCAGTGCACAAGAACCATAACTCTATCTAAAGTAATTACAGAGTTATTGCCCTTTGTTACTTTTCCATTGTTTTCTTTTGTCCGGAGCATAACTTGAAGACTAATTGTAGGAATTCATTATAACTTAATACAATGGTCAAGCACATTGAGAGGAAGTGCAGTGCACAAGAACCACAACTCCATCTTGACTTATTACAGAGTTATTGCCCTTTGTTACTTTTCTGTGTCCGGGGGATAACTTGAAAACTACTGGTTGGAATTTAAAAACAACTTCATACAATTGTCAAACACAACAAGGGGAAGTGAAGTGCACAAGAACCATAACTCTATCTAAAGTAATTACAGAGTTATTGCCCTTTGTTACTTTTCTTGTCCGGGGCATAACTTGAAAACTACTGGATGGAATTCAAAAACAACTTCATACAATTGTCAAACACAATAAGGGGAAGTGCAGTGCACAAGAACCATAACTCTATCTAAAGTAATTACATAGTTTTTGCCCTTTGTTACTTTTCTATTGCTTTCTTTTGTCCGGACCAAACTTGTAGACTAATTGATGGAATTCATTATAACTTAATACAATGGTCAAGCACATTGAGAGGAAGTGCAGTGCACAAGAACCATAACTCTATCTTGACTAATTACAGAGTTATTGCCCTTTGTTTATTTTCCTTGTCCGGGGCATAACTTGAAAATTACAAGATGGAATTCAAAACAACTTCATACAATTGTCAAACACAATAAGGGGAAGTGCAGTGCACAAGAACCATAACTCTATCTAAAGTAATTACAGAGTTATTGCCCTTTGTTACTTTTCCATTGTTTTCTTTTGTCCGGAGCATAACTTGAAGACTAATTGTAGGAATTCATTATAACTTAATACAATGGTCAAGCACATTGAGAGGAAGTGCAGTGCACAAGAACCACAACTCCATCTTGACTTATTACAGAGTTATTGCCCTTTGTTACTTTTCTGTGTCGGGGGGATAACTTGAAAACTACTGGTTGGAATTTAAAACAACTTCATACAATTGTCAAACACAACAAGGGGAAGTGAAGTGCACAAGAACCATAACTCTATCTAAAGTAATTACAGAGTTATTGCCCTTTGTTACTTTTCTTGTCCGGGGCATAACTTGAAAACTACTGGATGGAATTCAAAACAACTTCATACAATTGTCAAACACAATAAGGGGAAGTGCAGTGCACAAGAACCATAACTCTATCTAAAGTAATTACATAGTTTTTGCCCTTTGTTACTTTTCTATTGCTTTCTTTTGTCCGGACCAAACTTGTAGACTAATTGATGGAATTCATTATAACTTAATACAATGGTCAAGCACATTGAGAGGAAGTGCAGTGCACAAGAACTATAACTCCATCTTGACTTATTACAGAGTTACTGCCTTTTGTTACTTTTCCTTGTCCAGAGCATAATTTGAAAACTACTGTTCGAAATTCAATACAACTTCATACAGTTGTCAAGGACATTAAAAGGAAGTGCAGTGCACAAGAGCCATAACTCCATTTTGACAAAATAAAGAGTTACTGCCCTTTGATAC